CATGGGAAAGATGGTTTGGATGGATGACTGGATGGCAAGGTGCTCTGGCCCAAATAGGTGTTGCCATTTTAATAACGATAATCATCCTCGCTCTTCTTGTTTGTTGTGTGTTACCCTGTCTTAAGAAATGCCTACAAAAGACAGTTGATCAGACAATCGACCAGACCACCCCGACCTTCCTTCACCAAGAGATTGATGACATAGACCGTGATACACCACATACACCATTACAGTCCCACCGCACTAAATCAACAGCTACTTCCTCTTAAGGACATTCAGGGATAGCGTCTGTCTCTACGGGCAGAAGTCTGTCGCGGGAGAAGTAGTGGACAAGCTGCTATGGGTCACCCGCGCAGTGAAGCGTTCGAGGCCTGTTCAGACAGATGTGCAAGATAGCCTTTTTGTTATTTTTCTATAGGGACAGTATTAGAGTGAGAGATAGTAGTTTTTAGTAAAATTGCCATTTTAAGGGGGGACTGTTATGGACAGATGAATTAAAATAAAATGGCTATTTACTAATGTCTATTTATTCTGTGTTCACAATGTTAAAACTGGCTGCTAGAGTAAATATTCCCTTCCCCCCCTACAATGTGTTCAGTTGCTATTTCCTCTGTAAATTCCTCACATCCTGCCAGCCTCCCCCCTTCCCATCGAGCAAGCCTCATGTAACAAAATTCCTCTGTTAAAAGAACATATTCCTTTATTAAACTCCTCCCCCACTTCCTTTGTGCAAAGTAACAGCTAACAAAATAGAGAATCACTGTTAAAGAAACTACTCACTCCCCCTCCCATCGTGTATCCAATATAGGTGGGAGAAGTCTGTAATGACGACCCTACATCCTGTAGGGGGGGGGGTAGACAAGACCCCTTAGACTGTTAACCATTTGATGAATGTATATTGTATGTTTAACTGTGACTCTGTACATGACGTATTTCTGCTTTAATAGGAACTCCCACTCCAGGGAATAAAGGCATTCCTCAGGTTTTTCACTGATCAGAAACTTTGTCTCCGGTGTGAATTACTTCTAGGGAAAGTGTGCACGCATTAATTAATCAATTTGGAAGGAGTAGATAGACAAATAATCAAAGTTTTCTTTGATCCAAAACAGTTCTATGCCACCCGCCAGCGTTAAGAGCCGGGTCCCCAAGGACGGTATAGAATGCCCACCATCCTTAAGGGGTTAATGGTACATTTTCAAGCTGGACAGAGGTGGTAATTTGTTTCCCCCGTGGTTCTGTTCTTGGACTGCTTGTATTTAACATATTTCTAAATGATCTTGAAATAAGCATTGAAAGTCATGTTTCAGTGTTTGCAGATGACACAAAACTCAGTCTGTAAATACAATATGAGCAAGATACTACTTTGCTACAGAGAGATTTAGATAGAGTGTAAACCTAAAGCATAGCATTAAAACTTGGCATCTCTGGAATTCTATAAATATTTGATATAGTGCTTTCCAGGAAATTGGTAAAAATAAGAGAAGTAGACTTATGGTTTAACATTTGAATTTTCATGGCAGTGGTTAAATCAGAGAGCAGAAGGTTGCTATAAACATAACTTCTTCTTTATTCCTTGTCCTAATGTAGCGTTGGTTGATAAACACATCATGCACATTTTCCCAGTAACGGTTGTTGTGTGTCTCAGTTTGTGTTTCGTTTTCTTTTCTTGTTTTCGCAGTTTTTGGTGTGGGCTGCGGGCCTGGGGCCCTTGCTGACGAAGGTGGACGTGGAATCGGCTTTCCTGCTGCTTCCGGTGCACCCGTATTGTCATCATCTCCTGGGCTGCACCTTTGACGGTTAGTTTTTGGTGGATATGTACCTCCCTATGGTTGCTCTCTATCCTGTTTTTATTTTGAGTGCTTTAGCACTTTCCTGGAGTGGGTGGTGCGGAGGGAAGCGGGGGTCAACTCCCTCTTGCACTACCTGGATGACTTCTTGTGTGTGTGGCCTTCTGAGTTGCAAACGTCTGCACTCTGCTGCTTGGGGAAGTGTTTCAGTGGTTCGGTGTTCCGTTGGTGTATGATAAAACCGTGGGTCCAGTTATGTGCCTTAGTTTCCTGGGCATTGAGATCGATTAAGTGGCCAGAGAATGTCGGTTGCCCCTGGCTCAGGTTCAAGACATCCGACATGTGGTGTCGCTGAGGTTAGGGTGTCGTAAAGTTCAGCTGCGCTGCCTGCAATGTCTTCTGAATTTTGCCTGTCGGATTTTGCCCATGGGGCGTATCTTTAACAGGCATTTGGTGGCGGCGATGTCTGGGGTCACTTGCTCTCAACACTTTATTACGCTTACGTGGCCCTTGCGAGATGACTTGGCTGTCTGAGATTCCCTCTTGGTCTCTTATAACGGAAGGACTTACTGGCAGGCCCCAGAAGTCTCTAATACTAACCTCCACCTGTCTACCAATGCAGCTGACTCGGTGGGTTTTGGGGCCATCATGGGCTCGAAATGGTGTGCTGACTCATGGCCGGATAACTGGCATGTGGCAGGGCTCACGCGGAACTTGGCTTTCCTGGAGCTCTTCCCCATTCTGGTGACGTTGGAGGTGTGGGGTCCCCAACTCGCAGATAGGCGGGTGATTTTCCATTGCGACAATTTGGGGGTGGTGCAGGCTATTAATCAATTGACCACTTCTTCTCCCCCAATGGTACGCTTGCTGCTGCGCTTGGTCCTGCGCTGTTTGGGGCTTAATGTGTCTTGTAGGGCTGAACATATCCCGTGGGTTTGCAACGTAATGGCCGATGATCTTTCTCAATCGCAGTGGAACATGCTTCGGGCAGTGCCTCCGCAGGCCGAAGTGGAGGGCGTCCCATGCCCAGTGGAGATGTGGTCGCTAGGTCTGGCAGACTGATGGAGTTGGTCTGTAGGTCGGTCTCTGCGACCACATGAGCCCATTATAATAAGGTGTGGAGTAAATGGGAAAGGTGGAAGCAGTTTTCAGGATCTCCCCTGTCCCCAGGCGCTCATGCCTCTTAGGGGCGTGGGAGGCTGCGGGGTTGTCCCCCTCTGTGATTTCTTCGCATTTTGCGGGGCTCAACTTCATGTTCAAGTTCCCGGGGTTTGGAGGATGCTACCAAAGCATTTATAGTCCGCCAGACCCTTAAGTGTTTGTGGTGGGGGTGTCCTCGCGGGTCTCGAGGCATCCTGTCTCAAGCACTCTACTGGCCAGTCTGTGCAATTCATTACCTTGGATTTGCCATTCTGTATTTGAGGCCCGCCTATTTCGGCTTGCTTTTTCTCTGTTTTTTTGGGGGGCTATGCGGATTGGGGAGCTGGTGTGCCTTAATCATCAGCAGGTGGGGGAGTGTTGTTTGGTGATGTTACTTGCACAGCGGACCGCATTTCCTTCAGGATTCGCCACTCGAAATGGATGTCTTTGGGAGGGGTAAGTAGGTCAGACTTTTGTCCCATTTTTCCTTCAGTGACTACTGTTCCTTACACCTGGCTTATCCAGCCCTCCCCCTTTTTGTGCTTGAGGACAGTAGCTTTCTCTCCCACTTCCAATTCATTAGTGTGTTCACTTGGGGCTCGAATTTCTGGGTATTGATGGCATGGAGTTCGGGGGCACTCATTCCGTGTAAGGGGGGCTACTGAGGCCTCTAGGCTTGGCATGCCGGTACAGGTAGTACAAATAATCGGGAGGAGGGAGTCGCGGTTTTATATATCTTATGTTCAACTAGCTGGTCTCCTGAGTTGATTTCTCTCCGCAGATCCGTTTCCCTCCAGGATGTGGATCATGGAACACACCTATGTCTATTGGGCCAGGCGGTGTGCGGCTGTCCGGCCGGGAGGCGAGTGGTTGAGTTTTACGCCTTCCAAAGCGGAGGTTCGGTGGTTTGATGCAAGAGGCATGAGGTGGGTGCGGCTCCTCCCTCCTGGCGGGTGTGGCCTCTGGTTCAGTTGTCCCGCCTCCTAGGGGTTCCAAGTGTCATGGTGATCCATCTAGGGGGGAATGACCTGGGTTCGGTGCCCATATGGGATTTGTTGCCAGCTGTTAAAAGGGATATGGCACGCATTTTAGTTTTATTTCCTGATGTACGCCTGGTTTGGTCTGAGGTTATCGCTCATAATTTCTCTAAACTGAATAGGAGGGTTTCTAGGTTTGTCTTGGAGGTTCGGGGTATTCCGGTTCGCCATAGGGTTTTTAAGTGGGATGCGGCCAATCTATTTCAGGGGATTGGGTGTACTTGACGGAGGTCGAGCTCGACCTCTGTATCTCGCTCTGCAGGAACCCGTAGAACAGGCTGGGTGGTCTTGGTGGGGTCCCCCGCTCGTTTTAGGCATAAACAGCAGGGTTGTGGCGGGTGTATGTCCTTGCCAAATAAGATTAAGGTGGTTAGGTTAATTATGTGGAATGAAGTGAGCAAGTTTCAGGTCTCAACCTCCCCTGCTCTAAAGGGTTAACCTTAGGTTACCTGTTATGATGTGCCCACCGAGCGAGGAAAAGGTTGGCTGGTGGTAAGTGTAAGGAAAAGGAATTTATACCGAGGGGGGAGGTGAAAGGAAGTGGTACGTAGGTGCATGGTCAGTTTATTGGCAAGGACGGTTGGGTTACACTGTATGACACTATGTGTTAAATTGTATGTTAAGTTATGGTTATTTATGTTTTGACGTTTTGGTTATATCAAAGAAAAGAGAATATTAAACTAAATTATGGATGTGTTATACAGTAATTATCATATGTTATAATAAATGCTGTGGCCTGTTTAATCAATACTACGTTGTCTGTCATTATTTGAAGGGGGGGAATTGGGTTATTTTATGTTATTATGCTGCATCACGATTCCCACTATGTACATACATGTGCTCAGACTGCAAACTATCACCATTTCAATGCAACACATAGGTGGAGCAGTAACAAGATTGGTAGAGTGGGTCTAAGGGGTGGGTGCATATATATAGCGACAGCCATCTTAGGAATAGGCAATTTAAATGTACTCACCAACATGGGTTTGTCCCTCCCACCCTAGGGATTGGGTGATTTTGTTTTCTCCCAATTTGTCACAGTGGCAGGGCTGGTAAAGGGAAGAAAATAGGGGGATAGGGACTTTGCAGTTAGAAAAGGAGCAAGGGGTAGGTAAAAAGGAATGGTGAGATAGAATTGAAGTTATCAGTTGGCTATGGTGTTGGGAGTTTTCGAGTCCGTAGGTGGCTCAGAACCTAGGAGGGGTTGGGGTATCTGGGTATACCCTCGCCTCCGGGTTGTTAAGAAAATGTTGGCACTTTATTGTCTTATATATTATTATTTATTATTATATATTATGTTCAATAAAAGCTGTGGACAAGTTTTCCCATACACAGATGTGTTGTGTTTTATTAAAGGGGGTGGGAATGGTTTGATAGGTACAGATTCACCTGACCATATGGCGACACTGCACCTGTCATGTAATTTAAAATCTTATTTACACAGGCTGATTTCTAAACACCAAACAAAACTAAATCTCCTTTTGGGAGAAGGTGTGTTATTACATAAGTGCTTTAGTGAAACAATATCAGCAGCTCTATAGTGTGGAATAACCTTTTCTCCACATACAATTACACAAAAATGCAACAAGTGGTACAAGTGAAATCTATACATTAAGTGGAGCACTGTAAAATACAATATGGGTGGTCTTGATAAGAACGTGTACGTCAAGTATATATAAAAATATTTAAAGAATAAAATATAGTATAGATGGTAATAAATTGTGACAATTCCAGTCATGAGAAAAATGGGTCACTCACATTTAAAAGAGCCTATACAATTGGCTCAGTAAACAGGGCTTGTATGTGCCTATGGCAGCATCCCACCACTTTTCCACACTGATATTCACTCCAGCAAAATAAAAGGGAGAGGCATCCAATGTGTGGTACAATTAAAAAAATCCCATTAAAATATAAAATAGGTATTAAGCTCACCTTTTTCAGAGTCTTAAAATGCTGGCTCTGAGGGTAACAGGTTTTGTGCTAATAGAGAGGGGATGGCACTACACCAATGAAGATTCTTGAGGCTTCAGGGGACTTTTAAAGTCTTATACTTATAGTATTTAGATCTGAAACCTCTAAGTTGGAAAGGAGGTATGCTAACTATTTAATACACTCCCCAATGAACCAAATGATATTGGGGATTTTAATGTATACAAAATAGTCACAAACTGTATACTTTATTTGAGGACATTCATCATTCCAGTGTATGTAATTATAGGACATTGTCCACATTCGCTGTTAATTTAGATTATACTAGCTTTAGTGTAACTATAATCTTAATTTTATTAATGACAGGAGGCGAATATTTGCTTAACTCTCCCTACTAGAACTCCACAGCAGAGAGAAAAACACCAATTACAAAAAAGTCAAACTAACAAACAAACAAGGGAAGGGAGAAACTGGGAAGGAAATATTCGCCTCCTGTCATTAATAAAATTAAGATTATAGTTGCACTAAAGCTAGTATAATCTACAACTTTATAACATGACAGGAGGCTTCATATGTGCTGTTTTAACGCTCTGACAGCAAAGCAACAGAAGCATGATCTGACGGTCTAAAATAGAATTGGCGAAATGTATCCTCTTGGGACCAGTCCGCCATGGAAGCTCCAGAAACTGCGGCGCCTCTAACTGAATGTGTTCCGAAGGTCCAATTCACCCCCACCAACGACAATAACCATCTTATCCGCCGTGCCAGGGTAGGAGATGAGACCGGGTTGTGGGGTCTGACATACGAAATCAACAACTGGCTGGAGTGAGAAGAACGAAGTGGAGCGGTAATCGCCACATAACAAGCCAGAGCCTTCGCTACACAGAGTTTCAGCAAATCACGGAAATAAGGGTAAAGAACAGCCATCGAATCTGACTTGGTACGCTTAACAACCCTGAAAGTGACCCCCTCCGGAGAAAGGGAAAAAGCGTTGACATTGAAGGCCCGGACATCAGAAACACGTCTGAACGAGACAAGACACAGTAAGAGGGCAAATTTGGCCGAAAGCTGATGAAGGGAAAGGTCCTGATTATCAGGCCAATCCCATAGGAACGATAAAACCGTGTGTACATTCCAGAGGGAAGAATACTTGGGCACCAGTGGTCGTGCCAGTCTCATCCCATGAAGAGGACTGCAGACTAGCGGGTCCTGGCCGATGGGAATACCTCCAAGCGGGACATGCGCTGCCGAGATAGCCAACCTCGCCACATTAACCGAACGATACGATCATCTGAGTTCAAACAGGTGAGACAAAAAAATTCAGCACACTAGTTGCCCGGTATCCCGTTCCAGGCACCAACGACACCAGGAAACCCATGCTGAGAGATAGCATCTTCTCGTCCCAGGAGCCCAGGAATCCCAGAGAAGGTCTTTAGCTGATTGCGTTAACGCCTCGACATTCCAGGTACCCCTGAAAGAGTCCAGGCCACCAAGCGCAGATGGCCGTCCCTCACTAGGGGGTGCAGTTTGCCCCGGGGTCCAAGAGGAGCAAGAGAAGAGGATCTCGATGGGAGAGATCCAAGAGCTTCGGAAACCTGAATCCTGGAGGCGAATAGATCCACCGTGAATGGGCCCCTCTGATTCGTGAGTTCGCAGAAGATGGGCCGAAGGAGTTTTCAATCACTGGCGTCCCTCCAATGTCTGGAGAACCAATACGCCGTCAGGTTCGACTCCCTCGGCAGATATTCCACCTGGAGAGTGATGTTGCGTTGGAAGCAGAAACTGTAAATCTCCTTCGTCACCTCTGACAGTGTTCAAGACCAAGAAATCCCCCAGGCAGTTGATGTACTGTACCTCCGAGACATTATCCATCCGGAGGAGGACGCAGCAGTCTGAAAGGTGGTTTGCCAGGCTCCGAATCGCAAACGTGCCCGCAATCAGTTCCAGGCAATTGATTCCCTTTCCGACCACGGACCCCCCCGGGACCCGGTGGCGCAGGTGGCACCCCAGCCCCAAAGACTCGCATCCGATTCCAACACGAAATCCGGTGTCGGTCCGAATATCGCTTTGACGTTCCCGGCTGACATATGCAGGAGCCACCAGCGTAGTTCGGTCTTCACGTCCGGGGACAGAGGGATCATCTGATCATAGGAGGGTCCATTGCGTAAAAAACGAGCCTTCAGTCATTGCATGGCCCTTAAGTGAAGCGGACCTGGGTAGAATGCCTGTATCGAGGCTGAGAGGAGACCCACAACGCGAGCTAACATTCATAGAGGGATCCTCCTTATTTCCTTCTGAATGGTCGCTATCTTGGCCAGAGGCAGACGAAGAACACAATCTTTCGCATCCACTTCGAAACCCAAGAACTCCATTGTCTGGGAAGGATCGAGGGCTGATTTCTCCAAATTGACCACGAAGCCCAGGCATTCGAATAAGGAGACTGCAGAGTGCATCTGACACTTGAGTCTGGAGGGGTCCTCGCAGAAGATCAGCAAGTCGTCTAAGCATACGATACAACGGACAGCCTCTGATCTGAGCCGAGCGACCACCAGCTTCAGGAGCTTGGTGAAGCACCACGGAGTCGAGCTGAGGCCGAAGGGGAGATAAGAGAGGTCAATGCGTGGCTTAAGTTTTGGTGCAGGAAGGAGGGTTTGGGGTTTTTAGAGCACTGGGCCGACTTTGCGCTCGGGTGCAACCTTTATAGTAGTGATGGATTGCACCTAAACGGGAGAGGGTCTGTAGTGCTGGGGGGTAGGATGGCTAGAAGGTTGGAGGAGGTTTTAAACTAGTAGTAGTGGGGAGGGTCATAGCAATCTACAAAATGGAGATAGGCCAGAAAGTAGATGGGCTTTAGCACAGTATAAGGGGGGAGGAGATGGGGGGAGGGGCAATCTCAGAACAGAGAAGCTATGTAATGTTGATAATTCACAAAAAGTACAAGTGACTCATGATATTAAATGTATGCTTACTAATGCAAAGAGCCTAAATAACAAAATGGGGGCACTAGAGGCAGTAGCATACACTAAACAATATGATATAATAGGCATAACTGAAACATGGTGGGATGAGACACATGACTGGGCAGTTAACTTAAATGGGTACATGTTATTTAAGAAGGATAGGAAAAAAAAGAAGGGTGGTGGGGTATGTTTGTATGTCAACCATGATTTAAAACCAAATCTTAAGCAAGTGGAATGCGATGAGGAAAATGTGGAAGCTTTATGGGTAAATATCTGCTTGGGGGAAAAGAAGGGAAACCAACTATTGGTTGGGATATGTTATAAACCACCTAAGGTTAATATTGACGAGGAACAACAGCTGTTTGAGCAAATTGAGAAAGCTGCAAATCTGGGTAATACTAATTATTGGGAATTTTAATAAATTGGGATTGGTACATAAATTGGGACAGAGGGACTAGTAGCTCGGCAAAGGGAATTAGGTTTTTAAACTTGTTAAATGACACCTTCATTTCACAACTTGTACAAGCACCAACTAGAATGGACGCTTGTCTGGACCTGGTTTTGGTTGTTAGGGGTTATGGATTTACTTGAAAGATGAAAACATAAATTAGAGGGATATTAGCATAGGGTATGTGTTTTCTTATAGTTGCTGTTTTCTTTCTCTCCAGCACCACCTCCATCAGATACATGACACTTGGGAGTGTTTTAGTGTTTTTGGTCGATATGATTCTTTAATTAGGCCCGTCATAATTGTCAGCACCAGGCCCACTGGGCTGTTAATCTGGCCCTGCCTGCCGCTGCAGACCCCCTGGCCTTATTATGCTTGAAACACAGATTGAGTCCGTGGTTGCCCCCGCAACCCGAGCACTCATGTTTAAACCGACATGCGGACCACTTGCACTGACCTTCATTGAAGAGCCCTTTTGCAAAGTGGCCAACGAGGAGGACTGACCCCTTGTGCCGGCCGTCTATTGAAAGGGCTGCACCCTCTGTGCCATCATCAGCTTCATCCAGAGAGGCAGGTCCATTTGGTCCCACCTCATACCCGGGTTAGCTGCTAGGTGCTGCCTACCAGCTCGTCATACCTCCACCACGCGAGCCCATCGTACGTGCGGTACACTTTGCCAAATGCCGTCCAAGTAACAAAACAACGATGAGCACAACTCCGGTGACTTCTCGCCCAAGACGCTGGCCAGTATACAGAACTCCCTTAGCCAATTCCCAAAGGATTTCGGTATCTTCCGATACCTTTTCCGCTTTTCTTTTTCCTCCTTCTTTTCGTCTTTCTTGTCCTCATCCTTGAGGTCAAGAAATTCCTTTAATGGAAGGAGCGAGAAAATTTCGCAAAACTCACCCTTCTATAACTTCTCCTCTATGTCCTGTTTCAGGTGTACCCCTAACAGTCCAGAATGCCCCCAGTCAGTTATGCCCTCTCAGTCGCGACCTCAGCTGTCCCGACCGACGGCCCCACTTTCTCGCTTGAACCACCCTCAGCGCCCAACTCTGAGCCCCCACCCCGTGAGTCCACACCTGTCCCACGCTAGCCCCCTGACCACCCCCAGCTTGCAATGAAAGAAGCAGAGACTGCAGTGTGTTCAGCAAAGTGTGAGAATGAAGTGCAATGTCAGACTCACTCAATTTTTAAATTATTTATTTATTTTCTATTCTATATGAATAGGATGACATTAAAGCAGACCCGCACAACTAGGCAGAAGGTATGGGCCAAAATTAAAGTAGGTAAAACTTATTCTAGGTTTTTAGTGCTTTACTTGCCAAGTAAAGGTATAAAATTACATTTAAAGATACACATTCCCGGCTAGAAATACAGATACAAACACACTGACAGACCTACAGATGCACACCCTGACAGACATGCAGATACCCACACACACACACTGACAGACATACAGATACACACACACCAACAGACATACAGGCAAACATACACACTGATAGACATACAGATACACGCACACACTGACAGACATACAGATAGGCACACACACTGACAGACATACAGATACACATTTAGATCAAAATATACACTTTTAGAGCAACCCTCCAGTTTCCTACCTTTTGGGTGCTGAAGGGTGGCTTCCCCCATGCCCAGACTGCAGGCTGAGGCTTTTGGGAGTTAGGGACTGGCTCTTGCATTCCTCTCCTGCCTTCTCCTCTGCTCTGTCCTCCTGTCTCTCTCCTGGCCTGGCCCCCTTCTGAATGACTCCTCACCCCTCCCACACGACTCCAGCCTCTCTGGGAGGAAGTGACAGGCTATCACTTTCTCGCATGTTCCCGATAAGCAAGGGTTGCGCATGCTGGCCACAGTGCCTGACAGGGCCCCTGCTGACACATGCCCACTGGGTGGCCCTAAGTACATGGGTCACCCAATGGGACTTCTTTGTGTGCAGGCCTCAGTGCAGCGCATTGGTTACAATGGCCATAGTACCACCACTGGCTCCAGTCTACATTTTTCGCAGGCCGCCCAAAATCCTTTGGCAGACCACATGTTGTGCAGGTCTGCATTAAATGGGCACTCTGAGCACCATAACCATTAAAGCTTAATGCAGTGGTTTGGGGGAAAAGAGACTGTCGTTGCAGTCCAAGCAATGCAAACAAACATGTACTGTCTCTTGAATAAAGGAAAAAACAGTATAACATAACTAACATTTAAATAAATTGTCAAATATTACCAGGGCCAGCGTGTCCATAAGGCGGCACAGGCAGCCACCTTAGGGCGCACCGGCCCAGGCGCGCAAATGTCAGTGTATGTATGTTCATGTATGTGTATCACAGTGTGTGTGTGTGTGTGTGTGTGTGTGGCAGTGTATGTGCATATGTGCATACATCTCAGCATTCAAACGCCAACACTACACACAAAAACACCCCTGCATGCTAACGTCAACACTACACATAAATCTATGCTTGTATTCAAACGCAAACATTACATACAAACACAACCCTACATTCACACAAACATACTCCATACAAAACCATGCTTACATTCAAACACACAAATACTGTTCAGTACAAAATACAATCCTTCTATGATTGTGTGTCGGTATGTTTATATATTTGTGCATACATGTATTTTTGCCTGGATCTATGTCTATATGAGAGAAAGAGAGATAGGGGCTGGGGGTAGAAAGAGAGATACATAGGGGTTGGGAGGGAAGAAAGACACAAAGGGGCTGGCAGGGAAGTAAGAAATACGTAAGATGGGTTGTAAAAGGCACACTAAAGGGGGGTGTAAGGCAAAAAGGGGCAAAAGGGTAAGACATTCAAGAAAGGGGTTATGAAACACTATTGGGTAAGAAATTCAAAAGGGAGGCTACGAGACGAGGTAAAGATGCCGTTTGTTTGGGGGGCTGGGGGCGCAAAATGCATCTTCGTCTGTGTAGTCAAAAATCCTTGCACCGGCCCTGCTTGTTACACATGAAGAATGGGTCAAGTATGCTAATTTTACATATGAAATTGGGCCAGTACATAATATGGGTGTATGACAAAAAACAAGGGTTAGGTACTACTGATTTACTGATTCATATTTAAACCCCCTAAGAGGTTCCCCTTATTGAAATAAGAGTTACACAGAACTCACTTCCTCTTTTTCATGTGAATTTTTTAAGTGCAAGTACATTTCCTATGCGTGTCCCTATTCTGTTCCCCCTTTGGTAGCTTTGACTAACTGAACTGTGTTGATGTAGAAAAATTAAAAAAAAAAAAAACAGAAAACAAACCAAATAGCAAAATTCAGACAATCTTTAAAGATAAGACAAAGATAAAATATAGAACAGTAGGAAAATACAAAAAGTATATAGTCCAAAAAGTTCTCACATAAAGATACCTCAACTATGAGAGGAAAGTGCACCTGTAAATGTTGGATAAGACGTGAGATAACTTGGAACTTGGGGGATATAACCTTTTCAGATAGCTTGGATATCCATATAAAAGATAAACGAGAAAAGCAGGGAAAGCCAGTAGTGCAATATGTCAAATCTAGTGGAAATAAGTATAAGAAATAGCGATATCATACTCACATTTCACAGAGCTCTAGCTTAAATGGCGTACAGTGGTGCAGTCCCTACTTGAAGGATATGATGGAAAACGGCCTCAGCAATGGGAGTGTCCGGGAACCCAGGAAAAGGTAGAAAGGCAAACAATAGTGCTCTCAATTTATGATAAAAGGTTTTTTAAAATTTCTAGAAGATAATACTCACAAGTGTAGAGCAGACTCACTGCTCTTTGATAACAGCGTTGGTGGCATGATCTCCACTTGGGATTTCTTAAAAACAAAAGTCTTTAAATTAATTAATAAAGGTCTTTTGGTCACTGCACTCGCTTACTGTGCTAATTAGCTTTTATTTTGACATTTTATACTTAACTGCAGTGTGTTTATATGTGTGCTGGAGATGCAATGTGTCGGTTTGTGTTGGGGTTGAAGTGTGTTGTGGAAATAAGGTCTGCACATATTTCCTAGTTAGTGAAAATGTCTATTTACTCATTTCACGATATATCACATATAAAGCTGAGCACACATGTTTTAATCAAAATGGCTGCTAGAAGCTTCTAAACCCTCCTCCCCCCCCTTCCCTTCTTAACACCAACTAACTACCTCGTGCAGCAAGATGGCGCCGGGAAACCGTGGGAGACCCTCATGGTCCCGGTGACATCACTTCAGTAGGCAGAGCATTAGAGCAACCACTTAACACCTAACCAATAATTGATGTATTATTCTATGTTATCTCTGACAATGCTTATGATGTAATTTTGCTTTAAAAGGGACCTGCCGTCCCCTCTGAATAAACTTTCCTCAAGTTATTCAACAACCTGGAACCTGTGTCTGGTGTGAATTACTTCAGGGAGCGTGCACGCATTGTTTCATTGATTTGGCCAGGGGCAGATACACAAAGAAATAATCAATATATTGATTGATTTTTCCATTTCAAAGTGTATGTCTGTATGTGCTAGGGATGCATTGTGTGTCTGTGTGTGCTGAAGATGAAGTGTGTCTGTGTGTGTGCTGAGGATGTAGTGGGTGTCTGTGTATGCCGGGGACGAATTGTATCTGTGTGTGCTGGGGATGAAGATTGGATTTCGGCCAATCCAATGCTTTCCCTTCCTGTGTGAGTGACTGCAATTAGAGGTGTTCTTAGACAGTATTGTCACGGCTTACAGTCAAAATTAGTATTTCATTATGATTCTATCTTTATGAAATACCCCCAAAAATATTGTTGGTTGGGGCATCAATCGGTAGGTAAGCAGAGCCAGCGCTACCTTCACCTTGGGTACCGGCTCTATGAAGGTAGTACCTGCCTCCTGGAAAGAGGGAGGGAAGGAGATATGGATAGAATGGGGGGGAGGGGAGACATGGGGTGGGAAGAGACATGGATGGAAGGGGTAGGGAGTTATTTATGGAAGAGGGGAGGGAGACATGGGGAGAGAGCAGGGCTGGTGCAAGGATTTTTGCCTCCCTAGGCAACAATCAATTTTGCCACCCCCTAATGAAGGCAACTACATTCTCTCACAGGTTTATTCACTAAATTCTGAATTGCAATGAAGAGACATTTAGGGAAGAAAACACACTGAGTAGAAACACTCATGCAGTATATGCATCCATGTCCACACACTGCATAATACATCCAACCATCCATCCACACAGACTGCCTATTACATACAATCAACCATACGCACACAGCCCAATACATAAATCCACACACACACACCACCTAATACATACATTCATACACTCATACTGCCTAATGCATCGATCAATACACACGTACTGCCTAATACAGGGAGTGCAGAATTATTAGGCAAATGAGTATTTTGACCACATCATCCTCTTTATGCATGTTGTCTTACTCCAAGCTGTATAGGCTGGAAAGCCTACTACCAATTAAGCATATTAGGTGATGTGCATCTCTGTAATGAGAAGGGGTGTGGTCTAATGACATCAACACCCTATATCAGGTGTGCATAATTATTAGGCAACTTCCTTTCCTTTGGCAAAATGGGTCAAAAGAAGGACTTGACAGGCTCAGAAAAGTCAAAAATAGTGAGATATCTTGCAGAGGGATGCAGCACTCTTAAAATTGCAAAGCTTCTGAAGCGTGATCATCGAACAATCAAGCATTTCATTCAAAATAGTCAACAGGGTCGCAAGAAGCGTGTGGAAAAACCAAGGCGCAAAATAACTGCCCATGAACTGCAACATCACTGGAGTGCCCAAAAGCACAAGGTGTGCAATACTCAGAGACATGGCCAAGGTAAGAAAGGCTGAAAGACGACCACCACTGAACAAGACACACAAGCTGAAACGTCAAGACTGGGCCAAGAAATATCTCAAGACTGATTTTTCTAAGGTTTTATGGACTGATGAAATGAGAGTGAGTCTTGATGGGCCAGATGGATGGGCCCGTGGCTGGATTGGTAAAGGGCAGAGAGCTCCAGTCCGACTCAGACGCCAGCAAGGTGGAGGTGGAGTACTGGTTTGGGCTGGTATCATCAAAGATGAGCTTGTGGGGCCTTTTCGGGTTGAGGATGGAGTCAAGCTCAACTCCCAGTCCTACTGCCAGTTCCTGGAAGACACCTTCTTCAAGCAGTGGTACAGGAAGAAGTCTGCATCCTTCAAGAAAAACATGATTTTCATGCAGGACAATGCTCCATCACACGCGTCCAAGTACTCCACAGCGTGGCTGGCAAGAAAGGGTATAAAAGAAGAAAATCTAATGACATGGCCACCTTGTTCACCTGATCTGAACCCCATTGAGAACCTGTGGTCCATCATCAAATGTGAGATTTACAAGGAGGGAAAACAGTACACCTCTCTGAACAGTGTCTGGGAGGCTGTGGTTGCTGCTGCACGCAATGTTGATGGTGAACAGATCAAAACACTGACAGAATCCATGGATGGCAGGCTTTTGAGTGTCCTTGCAAAGAAAGGTGGCTATATTGGTCACTGATTTGTTTTTGTTTTGTTTTTGAATGTCAGAAATGTATATTTGTGAATGTTGAGATGTTATATTGGTTTCACTGGTAATAATAAATAATTGAAATGGGTATATATTTGTTTTTTGTTAAGTTGCCTAATAATTATGCACAGTAATAGTCACCTGCACACACAGATATCCCCCTAACATAGCTATAACTAAAAACAAACTAAAAACTACTTCCAAAAATATTCAGCTTTGATATTAATGAGTTTTTTGGGTTCATTGAGAACATGGTTGTTGTTCAATAATAAAATTAATCCTCAAAAATACAACTTGCCTAATAATTCTGCACTCCCTGTACATATATCCATTACTCTTTTTCAATGCATTTGGTGGTATTTCATTTGTAATATTGAGATTTAATTTATGTTACTGCAAAAAAAATTTGGTTTAATATAGAATTCTATTAATATATATGATAAATATAATTTTATATATATATATATATATATATATGAGAGCATTGTCTGCGATGTGATGTCACCTTTGTTGCTGCCGGAAATCTTATATCTGGCATCTTTTTCCTCCTGCACAGTGTGTGCAGCAGTCCTGGGGTAAATCCTGTGAGTACATTCTCCATGCTAGAGAAAATCCTGGGTGCCTGGGTAAGTCCTGTGAGTTTCAGTGCTATGGTAAGTCTCTGGGTGCTCAGAGAAAAAGCAGTGTTTACATTGCTCCATAGGGACCACGCCAGTGGCAGTCACTCAGGTGGCTGCTAGAGGTGCTTCCTGATATTCAACATCTCCACACTGTGCATGGAGGTGCTGAACTCTCCCCATAGAGATGCATTGGAAAAAAGGTGAGTTTTTACTCTACTTAAGTGGGGCAAAGGGCCTTAATAGTGTTTTAAACACTATAGGGTCAGGAATACATGATTGTATTCTCTAAAGCCGCATGTATTCCTGACCCTATAGTGCTCCTTTAGCCTTGCAATGTAAAACACTGTGGCTTTAGAGAAACTATAATGTTTGCATTGCAGTATTAAGACTGCATCTAGTAACTATCTACCAGACAGGCACTAGGGGCACCTCCTGCAGGTTCACAGAGTTTGACTTTTTGAAACAATGTTGGATGTCTTCACGTTTGCATGAGGACATCCAGCATGTTGAAAAAACCCATAGGAAAGCATTGAGGCCCGGGCCCCACGTGTAGCGGTAGAACTGCCGCCGTTGCAGTTGCACCGGGGCCCGCACTCTGATGGGGCCTATCGGGTTGCCCATGCACTTAGGGCCAACCGATGGGCCCTATATCTTCAGGGGCCTGGTCAGCGATGTGGCCATGGTATAGCGCGACCGGGCCCCTTTGAAAAAAACCTTCCTCCCAGCTCACTCCACGCGGGAGGACCGCGTGCCCGGCAATGAAGAGGGAGAGCCAGCCGGCTCCCAGTCCCATCAGCCCCAGCCACCCTCCTGCAAAGACAAGGTAATAAACAGGAGGGTGGCTGGAAAATGAGCTGTGTGTGTATGCATGTCTGTCTGTCTGTATGTATGTCTGTCTGTGTGTATGTATGCATGTCATTATGTATATATGGATGTGAGTGTCTGTATGAATGTATGTATGCCAGTATGAATGTATGTCTGTATGTATGTCTGTATGCATGTATGTCTATCTGTATGCATGTCATTATGTGTGTATGAATGTCAGTGTATGTAAGTCTGCATGTCATTATGAATGTGTATGTATGTATGTCTGTCTGTCTGTATGAATGTATGTATGCCAGTATGAATGCATGTCTGTATGTATGTATGTCTGCATGTCATTATGAATGTGTGTATGTCTGTCTGTCTGTATGAATGTATGTATGCCAGTATGAATGTCTGTCTGTATGTCATTATGAATGTGTCTGTATGTCCTTATGTATGTGTCTGTCACTATGTACGCCTGTGTATCTGTATATGTGTGAATGTCTCAGTATGTGTGTGTCAGTATGTATGCCTATATGTGTATCAGTATGTGTGTCTGTTAGTCTGTATCAGTGTGTGTGTGTGTATCTGTGTCCTTTTGTATCAGTGAATCTGTTTGTGTCTGTGTGTGTATTCCTGTGGGCGGGATTTAGAGGCGGTCTCTGTGGGCGGTTTTGGAGGCGGGCCCCCAGGGGCCCAGACCCTGAGCTCAGTTAGGGGCCACCAAAATTTCTGGTGGTGGCCCTGCGTGCCGGTGCTTGCTGCACATGCCCACTAGTTTCCCTCTTTTGGCTTATGGCAGAAGAGGAGATCTGGCTTCAGGTAAATGAAGCAGTTATTTAACTATAGTGTTAGGAAAACAGCTTTGTTTTTATTGTGTTCTATAGTGTTCTATAGTATTTATAATTTTTTTTCCAATTTTGGTCTTTTCACAATTTCAGCACAATGGATTGGTCAAAATTAAGAAAAGATGCACTCTTCTTAATGGCACTAAGGAAGTCTGTTGTGTGCTTATTTTAGATAGGGCTTGTCACAGTGGCACCTTAGCTAACCTTATGTGGGAATGCCAATTTTTTTAAAGGGTATCACCTACAAATTTCAGGGACGGGGTACTTTAGATATACCTCTTTTATTTGGCACCTTTTTTTAAGATAATAGGCAATGTCACCTAATTTAGCATCCTTAAATACTATATATCTAGCAGATTTACCTAACCGACTTGTGAATGCTGGTAAAAATATTTAGTCACGAATCCAAGTAACAAAACAGAACAGTGAGCTGTGCTGTAGTTGCTATGATACCAGAATTAGTACTCTGAACCTTAGAGTATTCTTAGTCTTCATTTGTCTGGGAACACACCTATGTTCTGCTCGTTGCTAGCCAATGAACAAGATCATCACCTCCTCCTTGAGAGCTGAAATTTCCTCTTTCTCCTCAGTGATCAGTGCCCTTTTGTACCTTGTCAAACCATTTCCAAATGATTTAACTGCAGTGGTTAAGGCCCTGGGAGTCAGCACAGCTAAATGGACAAGGGCACATGTATGAGTGTGGGGATGGTGCTAGTGATTGGTTGTATGTGTTTAAGGGAGTGGTTATGTGTTTGTAGTGGGGCAGGGATCATCTTACCTCAGTGCCTGTTTGGATTCTGGCCAGCAAACAACTTCTCTGCCTCTGCGCTCCTGTTTGTCCTGGGCCTTGTGACTTTTCCTGCTTGAGGGATGGATATTGAAGGCATCCTGTCTGCCCTCAGAGCTGCTGCTGCCCTGGATGCCGGTGGGCACTTAAGGGAGCAATATGCTCACCTCCAACCTGGCCTGCCCGCCGGTGTGGGTTCACCCCCCCGTGGTCAGGCCTCTCCTTGGTCCTCCCACACGGCTACAGCCCCTGTAGGCCGCAGGAGCACGGGCCGGCACTCCCACCGCCTGAGCCCTGATCCTTCACTTCGGGCCCAGTATAGGAGCCGGAGCCCAGGCACCACCAGGCCTGCGTGTCATCTCCATCTGACACACGGCCTGCTTCATCTGCCGCCCCCCGCACACCCCCTGGCCGTGGACAGCCAGCCAGGGGTGCCAGAAGACCTGCTCAGTATCCTGGGGGGTCTGGGAGGCCTTCCCAGCCCCCACGTGTTCGGCGCACCGGCGGATCCAGAGCCCGGCTGGTGGTGGTGAGTGGGCCACGCGGGGCATGGCTGTGCTGCCGCTGAGGGGTGGAGGGGGGTCCTCCCTGGGCTCTGATTGCTTCTCTGGGGATGAGGGTTGGCCGGGGGGGGTCCCCCTCTCCTCCTCTGGGTTTTGTCCAGAATTCCCTCCTGCCTCCTCCCCCCCCGTGGTGCCATCCCTTGTCCCCTCTCACCATTTATCGTACCCCAGGGGGGGTTCGTGAATGATGACATCTCTTCGAAACTCTGCCGAGTGTCTTATGCGTCCTTTGACGCGGCGGTTGCCATGGTCAGGCACCGGTGCACCCAGAATGTCACCATCTTCTGGGCTGTGTTTTTGAAAACCAGTATTATGTGGATATGTGCCTTCCTATGGGTTGTTCCATATCCTGCTTTTACTTTGAATGCTTCAGCACATTCTTGGACTGGGTGGTGAGGAAGGAGGCTGAGATAGACTCCTTGCTACACTACCTGGATGATTTCCTTTGTGTGGGTCCCGCCAATTCGCCAGCCTGTGCAGTGCTGCTTCGGGTTCTGAGTGAGGTGTTCCATCAGTTTGGGGTCCCATTGGCTCACGACAAGACCGTGGGCCCGGTCACTTGACTCAGTTTTCTGGGCATTGAGATTAACTCTCTGGCGGGGGAATGCCGCTTGCCTTTGCATAAGATTCAAGGCTTGCGGCGCGAGGTGGCCATGGGGTGGCGCAAGATTCAGCTGCGCTGCCTGCAGTCACTCCTGGGGAAGCTTAATTTTGCCTGTCGGATCATGCCCGTGGGGCGGGTCTTTAACCGGCGTCTGGCTGCGGCGACGGCCGGGTTCTCTGGGCCTCGCCATTTCATTCGGCTTACTCGGCTGCTGCGGGACGATTTGGCTGTTTGGTACTCCTTCTTGGCTGCATACAATGGCCGGTCCTACTGGCAAAAGCCGGAGGTTTCTAACGCCGACCTCCACCTATTTACAGACGCGGCTGGCTCGGTGGGGTTTGTGGCCATTCTGGGCTCTATTTGGTGTGCGGCCATGTGGTCGGACAGTTGGCATGTCTTTGGGCTCACAAAAAATCTGGAATGGCGGTGGAGGTCTGAGGGTCACGTTTGCAGGATCAAAGGGTAGTGTTTCACTATGACAATTTGGGGGTTGTTCAGGCCATTAATCGGCTGACAGCCTTCTCCCCTCCGGTGGTTCGCTTGCTTAGGCGGTTGGTTCTCCGATGTTTGTGTTTCAATGTGTATTGTAAGGCAGAGCATATACCGGGAGTGGTCACAGTGGTCGGAGTTTCGGGCTGTCGCCCCGCAGGCGGAACCGGAGGGGACGCCTTGCCCGGTGGACATCTGGTCGCTTGGTCAGGCAAAGTGATGGAATGGGTCCGTGGATCGGTTTCCAAGGCCTCCTGGAATCGCTACAGTAAGGTGTGGGGTGAATGGGAGCAATGGGAGTTGGATTTGGGTGGTTTTTGTTCCCCAACCGAGCGTCTCGGGGGGCTACTGCAGCTCGTAGACTGCTGGGAATTCGAGGGTAAGTCTCCCTCTGCAATCTCCGTGCGTTTCTCCGGTCTTAGCTTTCTATTTAAGCCGTGCGGGTTGGAAGATTCGACTAAAGCGTTTGTTGTGTGTCAGGCACTTAAGGGACTGCGACGCCGAGCTGCGGTGGTTGACGCACGGAGGCCGGTTTCTGCTGTGCTTTTGTCAAGACTCTGTGGGGTACTCCCGCAGATCAGTTAATCGGTGTTTGAGGCCCGGCTGTTTAAGTTGGCTTATTCGCTGGCATTCTTTGGGGCCATGCACATTGGGGAACTGGTGAGCCCTAGTAGGTGCAATTGTGGGGGGGTGTTGTTTGCCGACGTTCAGTGCGAGCCGGGGCGAATTTCGTTTCTGATACGACAGTCAAAAATGGATGTCCTTGGAAGGGGTAAATGGGTGCGGTTGGGTGCTGTCCCTGGTTCGGATATTTGCCCGGTTGCTTCCTTTCAGGAATTCTGCGAGCTGCGCCCGGTTTCTTCAGGCCCCCTTTTGGTTCATGAGGATGGGAGTTTTCTGTTCCATTTTCAATTTATTCGAGTTTTTCGTTCTGGATTGGAGGTATTGGGGGTTGACAGAAGGAGTTTGGGGGGCATTCATTTAGGATTGGCGCTGCCACTGAAGCTTCTAGGCTGGGAATGTCAGCGCAAACGGTTCAGAGGATTGGGAGGTGGGCATCTGGGCGTTTTGTCTCATATGTTCGTCCTTCCTGCCTCCTAAATTTATGTTTTCTCCTTAGGTGGGAGTCCCCCCCCAGGGTCTGGGTGATCGGACACTCGGATGTCTTCTGGGCCAGACGGCGGGCGGCTGTCCGTCCGGGAGGTGAGCTGCTTGGTTTCACGCCTTCTGAAGCGGAGGTTCGCGGGTTTGGGAATAGAGGTATGAAGTGGGTCCGGCTCCTCCCATAGCTAGTTCAGCTTGCCCGGCTTTTGGGTTCACCTAGTGTTCTTGTGATTCACCTGGGACGTAATGATCTCGGGACTATGCCTATCTGGGGGTTGGGGAACGCAATTAAAAGGGATTTAGCGTGGGTATTGGTTTTGTTCCCGGACATTCGACTGGTCTGGTCGGAGGTCATTTCACTAAACTACTGGCAGCGGGCCCATAATCAATGGACGATGGACCGTTGTCGGCTTAAACTGAACCGGAGGGTCTCCAAGTTCGTGTTAGGGGTAAACGGGATTCCGGTGCGCCATAGGGTGTTTGAGCGGGAGGCATCTAATTTGTTCAGGAGTGATGGCGTGCACCTCACGGAGGTCGGGCACGACCTCTTTAATCTTGAAATCCAGGAGGCGGTGGAAAAGGCCTTAGTTGGTTTTGGTGGGGCTCCCCGCTGATTTTAGGCTTACAACAGTGGGGTTTGTGGTGGGGAGCGTGTCCTTGCCAACAGGGTTGGGGAGCAGATGGAATGTCAGGAGATGGACAAGGTGAGTCTCAACCTCCCCTGCTCTGTAAGGTAAACTTTCAAGTTACCGAATTGGACGTGTCCACCGAGCTAAGAGTCGGCTGGTGGTTAGAGCATTTAAGATGATGGGAATTTGGTTTGGACGAGGGGGGAGGCTAGACACCAGTGGGTAAAGTTTTTGTTGCATAGGCACCTGGTTAAGTTCGTTGGCAAGGACGGTTATTTAAGTTGAAGGCTGTAGGGCAATACGTTTTTAATTTATATGTTAATTATGGTATGTATACATATTTATGTGTTTATTTATATTTGAATTAAAGAAAAATAATAAAGTTCTGATGTGTCCTACAGTTGTAAGTTTTAATAAATGCTGTGGCCTATTTCATCCAATATGCATTGTCTGTCGTTATTGGGGGGATAAGTGGGTAGTCTCTTTCTTTTAGTCGCACCACATTCCCCGCTACGTACATACAAGGCCCTGGGCACATGTATGAGTGTGGGGATGGTGCTAGTGGTTGGCTGTATATGTTTAGGGGAGTGGTTATGTGTTTGTAGTGGGGCAGGGATCATCTTACCTCAGTGCCTGTTTGG